CTGCTGTTCATTGCAGCGAAGTCTTGGTATCTATCTGAGTTTGATCAATCAGTACTCTGGCTTTGCAATTCACTGTCTCCCACGTAACCAATCCATCCATATTCAAACGTGCCAATCCATTAATGTCTGGATCCACCCATGGTAATAGGTCTTAGCGTCATCAGTCTAATCTCGTCACGAAATGGCTGAGTGTTGAGGTTAAACTTTCCTAAATTTGCTGGCCTTCACATGTTTTATGTCCCTTGTCTCTTGTCTAAACGAGTCAGGTCTCAGATCAGCTTTCGTGCCAGAAATGTTAAATTGCCTACCAGTTACCTAGGACACCACCGTGGTGAGGTGTTGAGGCGCCCGGACCAACAACGAAATTGCGATCCCTCGATTTACATTCGTACTAAAATGTAATGCCTGCCACCGGTGTACTATAACTGTTCAGCTTCATTATACCCTGCCCGCCCCAGCCCTCTAACGCGCCCACCCCGCTTCCAAAACGGTCCATTCAGGGGTGATTTGCCCCGCACCACGCGCTTGACCCGCCATAAGACAGATTGCGCCACAGAAGGAAGGGGTGCGCCGCCGGGGATACCCGCCGAGCTGGCTTGATCCCGACACGTTACGGTCCCGCGGCCAGTCGCCTCGTCGTGGCTCCTCCCATTTTCTTCCATTGGCTTTGGAGTGCTGAGCTCGCCTCTGGCGTTTTCGTCAGCCGTTGCATGTCGACGCTGTGACTGACAGCTGGCGCACGCTCTCCGGACCACCGACCTTTCGGCCCTCAGCCAGGTATTTCCCAGGTCCGCTTGGCAGCAGCTCCGCGGGGAAAAGAGGGGTATGAAGCACCGACGTTGGCCAGACATGGGAATGCTTATGTGCCCCAACCGTGCTGTGGTGGCTGTTCTCCGATAATTCGAGCCAGTAAAAGTTTTTTTCTGCAGCGGCTGCCTGTCTTTGGACCTTCGCGGTCGCTGGCGTCTAGGCTTGATTTCAGAACGTTGAGTAACTTCTCTGTGGATGTTGCAGTGACGTTGGATATATGTATGTATATACATGCATATATATATATATATATATATATATATATATATATATATATATATATATATATGCCTTATGGCAATGACATAAGTTATCAGCATCAGTTATGCAGTTTTCGCGTTTCAATACATTGCCTATCATCATTAGCACGAGTGAAATGATACAAGTTCAATCAAGCTTCAATGAAATATTAGAACATTCAACCGACATCGTTCGACGTGACAACGACCACAGTGGCAAAGATGAACACAAACTTTCTACGCATAAACAGGACAGATTGAAAAATAAAACAAAAAAAATCAACGCTGCGTGCCACGTTCTAAGATCAAGTCCAGGCGCCAGCGATCGCAGAGGTTCAACGGCAGGCAGCCGCTGCCGAAAAAAGTCAAAAAAAAAAAAATCAAATGTTTCATTATGTTTTGTTTACACGTAGAGAGGTCGTGTTCATTTGTATGACTGCGACCGTTGTCATGTCGAGTGATTTCCGCTAAATGTTCAAACATTTCATTGCAAGCCAGTTGACTTTGTACCATCGTGCTCGTCCTGGTGACTCGTCCATACGCAATGTATCGAGACGTTGAAAACTACATAGATGGTACCGTTGATCGCTGTCCTTGCCAAAATTTGTTGGCGCTTCTTACAGCCGGAGGACGTTATGTGTGTATATATATACATATATATATATATATATATATATATATATATATTATATATATATATATATATATATATCTATATCTATATTATATATTATATATATATATATATATATATATATATATATATCTCTCTCATCTCTCTCTCTCTCTCTCCTCTCTGCTCTTCCTCTGTATATATATATATAGATAATATATATATATATATATATATATATATATATATAATATATCTCT